AGCTTTAATAGCACACTAAATATCACTAACTTTTCAGATGTTTTATAAGAACTCTAATTTCTTTGCCTGACGATTGTGTGAAATTTATGGTTACAACTTTGTAACAGAAGTTTTAAAATCATAATGGCTTTGGCCAATCACAACCTACATGGGACATTAATAAATGTTAGTTTACACTTGAACAAAATTCTTAATAGATCATTCTAGTAATTAGCATGTAAAAGATATTATAGTCAGATTCCTAAATTCTTGGGAAGAAAAAGAAAATTTTAAAATGAAAATAATGGCAGCCTATAGAAGACTTTTGTGTTATGGAAATTATTTGTGATGATGTGATGAGGAGTGATTTTGAAGGCATAGACAACTAACAATAACAAGGTAGACTGGGGTTCATTGTGAGTTGATAGGGTTCCTAGGGTTTTAGTCAACAAAGACAGAATGGCAACATGGTTAGAGCCTTTAGGGGGGCATGAGGATGTCTGAATCCATGGCCTTGGTATAGTCATGGCTGAATGATAATTCAGTGCCTGGCTGAGGCTAGTTTACCATGGAACTCCATAGTCTTTCCTTATGTATAACATGAGGTACGTCACACACAACAAGAAGATGGACTTGGAGTAGTCTGCTCATAGAACCGCATATTGGTGAAGAGCTGGGGCCCTGACCTCAGATAGACTTTGCCGGTTAATCTTAATTATCAACTAGATGGGATTAAGCACTGTTGGATGAATGAATGATTGAGTCATGGGGGCACTGCACTCATCAGTGGATTAATCCACTGATTTCACAGACGAATGTGCTGTCAGGATGTGTGGCACTATTGGAGGAGGTAGGTCACTGGGGATGAGCCTTTGGAGGGTGTATCTCTTGCCCTGTGTTCTGCTTTCTGGCTGCCATGAAATGAGTGGCCTTGCTCCACAATGTCCTTCCACGATGATGTTCCTGCCTTGGGGTCTGCCAACCATGAACTAAACCTCTGACACCATGAGCCAAAAACAAACCTCTCCTCCTTTAAGTTGTGGGTATCATGTATTTTGTGTACCAGCAACAGGAAAGCAGACCAATATACAGGCCTACATGGGTTGGCCTTGGGAGAGTTAGTTATCTTATCTGAACCTCACT